ACTAGTTTTGTTTGTTTTAATATGGAACGCTTCATGAATTTGCGTGTCATCCTTGTTCAGGGGCCATGCTAATCTCTATATTGTTCCAATTTTAGTATATGTGCTGCCAAAGTGAGCACAATTTCAGGCTAGTTTTGATGCACAAAAACAAACCCTTTGCAGAGGACTGACAGTTATGGAAAAGCCATGCTATTTATCTTGAGTCAAAGGATAATATTTCTATGAAATCCTCCTACCTGTTGATAAGTTAATGATAGATAATGAAGTAGAGTTAGGTATTCAATGTATTAATAGGATTGCTAAAATGGATTAGAAAAAGTGAAAATGCCCAGCCTAGAAAATGGTCAACTGCACATCTACTGTGCAATCAGTGTTGGTAAACACAGCCAATAGACTGTCCCTGGTTTTCCTCAAAGCTCTCATTCTATGAGACTTCCCTCTCAAAATGTATCCCCTCACTCAGATTTTAATCCTGATTTAGTTTTTACATTGTTAACTCATTTCTTAGAGGTAGGAAGCTGGAGGGGTAGAGCCCTTTAACACCTTCTCCTTGTATGGCACGCTGGTAACTTAATAGGCCTGCTTTTGAGTCGGGTCCATCTTCACAACTGTTTATTGCTTAGCAAGGAACCATTGCTGTGGAGGGAAATTGTCCAATTCTGAACTACTCACATCACTAAGAACACTGTACTGGCCTGTTAACTGTGAAATGAAGAGTGTGAGTTTTGCCTTGTGCTCCAGCCAGTATATCTTTCGTTATGATAACGACCAGGGGTGTGGTTTCCCCAGGGACAAGTGTTGTTTTTAATTTTTCCCCTTGCTCTACATAAGTAACTCTTATACTTATCTGCTATTTCTCTTTATGGTTTTTCACTCCTTACCTGTGATATGTTTCACTCCTTTTTCTCTCTTGTCTCAACTTTATAGCTCTAAAAATCTTTACATAAAACAATCTTCCAGAATTGGTACACCCTAATTTCATAGTTCTTTTTACCCCAACGCTCACTTTAATATCCTGTTTTGGTATTCCACACTTGAGGGGAAGCATTTTAATTTAGCAGTAATGAGTGTACTTGGGAGTTAGGGTTTGACACTACAAATAGACAAGCAGTAGACATTGATGTGCTTGTCTGTTTTGCTTTAATACACTGGTCTGTCCTAATACAATCAGCCATCTGAAGAACTCGGGCGCAGTGACATGACAGACCTAATTAGAGAGCAGCTGTGTTGTAAAAATTCAGACAAGCACAGTTTTCCCACTTGGCTAAGTTGATACAAGAAAAACATCTTTATCCTAATACAAGTAGGCCCCAATTGCTACTGCTTCCCTACCTCCAGTTACTGGATTAAATTCTTTTCTCTACGATGGCTCTTTAAAAAGTGAACAGCAACAGCACCCAAATATGAAACACACAATACAGGTCAGATCCAGTACTCTGTATACCTAGAGAAAGCATCTAAACCTCAGAACATGACTAAATCTCCAAAACTAGTTTTAGGAAGGGGGGATTCCTGGGTGTGCTGCTCCTTATAACTACAGAAAAGTTTGCCACAATCCCTGCCAGTGTGGGTAGAGAGCAGGGCTGCCCTCTCTCTTCTAAGGTAATGAGGTGCCTGTAACATGAAGACACTAGCGGTGACTCAGCAAAAGACATGGAGAAATGACGGCACCCACAGCAAACCTGGGTCACCTCAGGGTTTGGCTAGTTGTTTTACGAGGTCTCCAGATTCTCAATTTTAAAAAGAAATAAATCTCAGGTGCTTCATATTAAATAGTACGTGCCAAATAAGACTCAATTTGTTTGTTTTTTAGTATTATATCTTGTTATTGAGAATTAAATCCAAACGAGAGAAATTAATATATATTGAAGTAGTATATCTCTTAAACTTATCATTTTCATTTCATAAGTAAAATGTGTAATGAGGTATATAAAATTATGAAAGACTTCATTAGTGCTGCTAAGTTAATATACTTGGAAAAAGACTTAGAATATATTATAAACTTTTAACCAAAACTCACAATATTTATATAAGATTCAAATAAGAATGTAGTTGCAAGCAGTAGAAAATTATGTGTAGATAATTTAAATGACTTTTCCCAGAGTATAGAGTACTGAATCTGATCTTAACTAGAGGCTAAGATATTCTTGTTCTAATAGTCTTTGGGCTCATACAACCTGTTCAAATGTATACCTTCCCCCTGCCCCTCCCACATACATTGCATTTTCTTATAGTGATTAAAGATAACATAGTTGTTTTCCTTGTCCTTTTTTAAAAACATTTAATTCTGGAATATAAAGTTCTTTTTAATTAAAGTATAGTTGACATACAATATTATTTTGGTTTTAGGTATACAACATAGTGATTTGACATTTATATACCTACAAAGTGATTACCTCAATAAGTCTCATAATCACCTGTCACTATACAAAATTATTGTGATATTGTTGACTGTATTCCCTATGCTGTGTTTTACATCCCTGTGACTTATACGTTTGTACCTCTTAATCCCCTTTACCTTTTTGCTCATTCCCCACCACCCGCAGCAACTATCAGTTTGTTCTCTGTATCTATGAGCCTATTTTGTTTCTTCATTTGTTTATCCTTTTTAGATTCCATATATAAGTGAAATGATACAATATTTGTCTTTCTCTGACTTATTTCACCTAGCACAATACCCTCTAGATCAGGGGTGGGAAAACTTTTTGACTCGAGGGCCACAATGGGTTCTTAAATTGGACCGGAGGGCCGGAACAAAAGCATGGATGGAGTGTTTGTGTGAACTAATATAAATTCAAAGTAAACATCATTACATAAAAGGGTACGGTCTTTTTTTTTTTTTAGTTTTATTCATTTCAAACGGGCCGAATCCGGCCCGCGGGCCGTAGTTTGCCCACGGCTGCTCTAGATCCAGCCATGTTGTCACAAATGGCAAGATTTCATTCTTTTTTCAAGGTTGAATACTGTTCCTGTGTGTGTGTGTGTGTGTGTGTGTGTGTGTGTGTGTGTATCTCATTTCCATTGATTTTTAAAGAGTGGGTGAAGGAAGAAAGAGAAGCATTGATGTGGAAGAGACACGTCAATTAGTTGCCTCCTGCGTGTGCCCCAGCGGGGGCTTGGGATTGAAGCTGCAACCCAGGTAGGTGCCCTTGACCCGGGAAGCGAACCCATGACCTTTTGGTGCTCGGTCCAATGCTCTAATCACTGACCCACACTGGCTAGGGCTCTCACTTCCTCTTTATCCATTTATCTATCAGTGGACCTACGTTGCTTGCACATCATAGCTATTGTAAGTAATGCTGCAGTGAACATAGGGGTGCACATATTTTTTCGAATTAGTGTTTTATTTTCTTCACATAAGCACCCAGAGTGAAATTTCTGAGTCCTTCTTTGTCTTTTGTTTGTAGCCCTTGTTGTAAAATCTATTCCAGGAAGGGAAATTCATTGACAAATTTAGGCTAGTTTGCTGCAAAGTGCTTCTATAGCATTGCTTTACTAGTTGTAATATGCCCTAAACCAGTTTTAACCAGGGGAGGGTTATCCTAGATTTTTTAAAGAAAATATATAAAGATATGACTACAAGTGACAGAATTGAAGACTTTGAGAAAAGATGTGAAAGATGTAAAAACACAATGTAGATAGAAATCCTTATTTCAGTAGTAAGACAAAATGTAGGGGAAAGGTTTTTATTATTGTTATGCAATTATTGTCATCATTCCACACTTTTTAAAAAGATTTTTTATTGATTTTTAGGGAGAGGGGTAAGAGAGAGAGAACCATCCATGTGAGAACTGAACATTGATTGGCTGCCTCCTGCACAACCCCTAGTGGAGATCAGGTTCACAACCAGGCATGTGTCCTGACTGGAGTCAAACTGTCAGCCTCTCAGTGCACAGGTCAACACCCAACCAACTGAGCCATACCTCAATAGGGCCCACATTCTCTTTTGACCCTTGTAAAAATGCATGTTTTACATGGTAGTAATTGCTGTATTTCCTTAATTTAAGTTAATACGTACTAGGTGTATTGGTTAATAATGGCAGATTTTGTAATCAAAGAAAACACAATAATTTCAAGAGAAACATCGAAAGTGCTTTATTCAAAGTAATGTCCATCTCTAGCTACACATTTCCCCCTCTTTCAGGTAATTTGTGGATACCGTTCCATTAGAACTTTTCTTGTTTTGAGGCAAACCATTCAGAGACCCAATTTTCCACTTCTTTGTACGTTTTGAAGTGCTGCTCAGAAAGTGAGTGTGCCATTGATGGGAACAAGTGGTAATCTGAAGGAGCAAGGTCTAGTGAATATGGCGGGTGGGTTAATACTTTCCAGGCAAGATCTTTTCAGGTGTCTTTAACTGGTTTTGAAGTGTGTGATGGTGTGTTATCATGAAGGAAAATTACTTTGCTGCACATTCTGGTCATTTCGCTATCAAAGCGTGATCCAAATTGATTATTTGTTGTCGGTAGCGATCAGTATTAATGGTTTCACCTGATTTTAGAAGCTCATAATACACCACACCTTCCTGGAAGGTGCTCTCTGAGAGTCTGGAGCAATGATATCATACTCTCATTTCATATCATCACAATAAACTCACACATTCCTGTGGCTCCAGCCTCAGACTAATGAATTAAAACATCTAGAAACATTGCGAGATGCTCAAATAGGATACAGGCACACCAACTGGGATCCTAGGTGTCATGGGGCTGTCATAGGGTTGCTGTTGAATCTGTGTTCAATATTAACTATTGTGAAGTATATTTTTTACCAAACTCGTACTGGGTTCCAGTGTTCCAACAGTAATTGCCCTAAAACCTAATGGTTTATTTGTATATTACATAAATATGGGGGAGGAGGCTTCATGTAAATGATCACAGCTACATATAATTATGTAAGTGCTTCTGTTATGATTATAGCTATGTATACAAATAGGGTTGTTTTTAAGAAAGAACTCACTTGTTATTCATAGTGAATAATTCATTTATTCCTTTTGTTTTTAGGCTGTTGAAAACCTCTGTTCTCATAAAGTTTCCCCAACGCTTTACAAGCAGCTCCGCCAGGTCTGTGAAGATCATGTCCAAGCACAAATTCTTCAGTTTAGAGAATATCCTTTTGTTGTCTCATGAAGTTTCTATTCGTTACCTAAATATTTTGAAACTGAACATTAATTAATAGGATAAAGAACTAATGGGTATCCTTAATATTTTTTAAATGACTTTTTAAATTTTCTTTTATTTACAGAACAGAAACCTTAAATTTGCTTCATATGACCCAATATAATAGATTTTCTTTAAGTAGAATTTATATCATTTTGCTAATCTGGTCAAAGCAAAACAGTGTCCTTTTATAGGATCTGGTTAAGCATTTAGAAAAAGTTCTAAAAAATGTCTTAAAGTCTGAGTTCTGTTATCCTTTATTCTTATAAAAACCCATCTGTGTTAGTTTTCTATGATATGTAACAAATTACCACAAACTTGGCTATGTAAACCTATACCCATTTGCCAGCTCATAAAGTATAGTCAAGAATAGTGGCTTAGCTCAGTGGGTTTTCTGCTCAGGGTCTCAGGCTGAAATCAAGGTGTCTCTGGTCCGGTGGTCAGCTCCTCTTCCAGACTCACAGATGTTGACAGAATTCACTCAGTTACAGAACCGAGCCCCCTCTCAGTGCCCTGTGGCCACCCTTGGTTTCTTGTCATGAGGTCACCTCTCTGACAACATGGTTATTTGCTTCTACTGGGTGATCCACAATCAAGGGGAGGAAGTTATAGGCAGGGGCAATGTAGAATTTTGCCACTAATTTTGCCATCTGTGACTATATGACTGCCAGGGAAACTCGGAGCTCCTTAGCATTTTGTAGACAATCACTTGCCATCTGGCTTCCATCTAGTTCCCCAGCTCCCTTCCATTACTATAGCCACCCACATATCAGAACGTGGACTTATAATTGAAGACAATCTACTTGTGACTGCACTTTTCTGGGCCTCTGTTTCTTCATTTGTGAAATTAGATAATTGGAGTGTACTTGTTTCTAGATGTTTTTTTCAGCTGAAAGAATTTTTTTCTCTTCCATTGAGAAACTGAAGCATTTAGAGCTCATTGAAATCTCCCTTGGCAGTTTGCAGTAGTTCTGTTGTCTGGCATTGGGGCTGTTTATTAATCATGATGATGAAGTCCAGGTCCACAGTGAGATGTCTCAGTTTAGGATAATATTTGTAGTTCTCTCTTATAAATGGGTCAGTGATGTCAATTCTTGTTCTATTATATTGACATCTGTAAGTATACCTCTACCATATTATCTGGCAAAGCTCTGTCCTAATAGTGACAACACTTTAGGCCTTTTGGAATCTGGCCAGTGTGTACCACGTCTCAGAGGGACCCGCTGAAGATACACTCAGCGCCTTGGTGCCACAGTTCTGGAATCCCGGGGACTGGGTCCAGGAACCCATGTTCAGGATGTTGGCATCTGAAAATTAGCCTGACTCACAGGCTTGCTGGAAGTTCTCAGCATATTCCCAAGCCCTCTCTCCAAGACAGGAACTCGAAAGAGTGAGCTGATGTAACTTTGTCCTAATCCAGTTGTCCCAGATTACTTGAAGACTGCTTTTTTATTACCTGATCAAATTATCCTGCCAGTTAATCCTATCCTATGGGTAACATGAATGTGTTCATTAACTCACTCATTCAACAAGTACTTCCTGTCTACTAGAAATTAGAAAAATGATTGCCATATCTAATTTCTACCCTCCAAGAAGTAACAACACTGTGATAGGTGCAAGGGAATTACCATATTTCCTAAATGCTGTACAAAGCCATGATTATAAGAATTACCATTTCATAAAAGAAGAAAGGAAAAAGAGACACACTATAGATGAAATGTGTGCCTTATTAATGTGAGGCATCGGAATTCAAAATGTTGAATGGTTAGAGTCAAGTACAGGAACTACAACACATGAAGCATTTGGGGCACAGCTTCCCAGAGGAAGTAACACTTGAATTGTATCTTAAAGGATGAGTAGGTTCTAGCCAGCTAGTGAGTGAAGAGGCATCGGAAGGCAGAGTATGAAAGGGTGTTCATGAAAACCTGGAGGAGTGTGGTGTGATTATAACCTGGAAGAATTGGTGAAGTTTGAGGCTATAATGCTAAGTTGCAACTTGATTTGAATCTGTGTACACCATTAAGGATTTGAACTTAAATCTATGAGCATCTGAGAATCCTTACAGGTTATTAAAGCAAGAACCCAATGTATTTAGATTGTGTTTTAGGAAAATCATTTTGACAGAATGATGAAGTAGATTGACAGACAGTCCAGAGATAGTACACATTTATTAAGTATTTACCACATAATGTTAGGTAATGTTAGGTCCTGAGAAAAGTAAACATGAATGAAATGTGATTTTGGCCCTTCAGAGCTTAAACTCCAATGGGATTGACAGAATCAGAAAGATACTCATTTACAAAGTAATGTAGTGAGGGTTTTAAAAGCTATTGGGATGTAAAGAAAGAACAGCCAGCCTGCCTGTGCAGGCAAGAGTGTGGCATGGTGCACTAAGGATAGAGGTAGATGATGAGCGACACAGTCCTGCCTTCAGAGTTTTGTTCTTGCTGAAAGTTATATAACCTATCCTGGTCTTAACAGTGGCCAAGTGTTAGTGCTGTTGCAAATGCCCAGATTCTCACTGGGCCAGGAATATTCTAAGTTAAGCATATTCAGATGTCTCTTGCTCTGGGATATTCCAGTGTTTCATGTAACTCTATTTTCTAAGATTCAAGGATTGCTACCTACTGTACATTGATTGCATGCTGCTGTTTAGGCCAGCATAAAAATTGAGGGAGACTTCAGAAAGCCCTTCATAGGTTGAACAGATCAGGTACAAAGGATGCCTGTGGAATTAAGTCATCTGCTGTTATTCTCTTAGGTTACCATATCCATTCCTTTGTTAATATGTTTGATTAATTCTGCACTTATCTGTCCCTTTCAAAATAAGTTACCTGCTGTTGGTGATATGCCTTTCCCCAACATAGAGGAGATTCCCTACACATGCACACCTCAGCCACAAGCAGCCTAGGCTAAAGCAAGCATCACACAGTATAGAAAGAAGTACATGCTGTGTACCTACACTTGATTCATGAGGAGTTCTAAAATAGCAAACTAGCCCTAGCTGGTTTGGGTCAGTGAATAGAGCATTGGCCTATGGACTGAAGGGTCCTGGGTTCAATTCCGGTCAGGAGCACATGCCCAGGTTGCGGGCTCATTCCCCTGTAGGGGGCATGCAGGAGGCAGCGGATCAGTGATTCTCTCTCATCATTGATGTTTCTCCCTTCCTCTCTGAAATCAATAAAAATATATTAATAAGTAAATAAAATAAAATAGCAAACTGTCCTCAGAATCTAAATCTGTAAATAACTATAGACAGAAGTCACTTTTTCCTTCCCCTGATTCAGTTGTACAGCTGTGCAGATTTTCTTAGTCATAGAGATGCTAATTAGCATGTGGCATCAGTGAACAGTCACACACAAAAACAGTGTAGTCCTCAGAACAGAAGGATGCATAAGGAAATGAAGTCTTTGCTGTTAGGGAAATCATGAAGCTGCACCATTACCTCTAAACCTATCTATAATCTGTGCTGATGACAGTAGGCTTTGAGCTTCTTTATATAAAGACCTTCAGCTTATACTCACTGGACTGGTGTGCAGTGAGCATGCATGGAGCATTTGCGGGTAGTAGACTAAGCTTCAAACATTTGCACAGCACTCCAAGTTACAGGTACCCTCATAAGCCAGAAGGCCCAAGACCACATGGCATGTGAGTGGCCCCAGATTAGTGCTAGGATTCAGAGGTGAACATGACATAGCTCCTGCTGCCATGGGCTTTATAGACTAATGAGGGAGGCAGTAATTAAATATTGTGGAATGTGAACTTGGGTAGTTATTAAGAAAGATAATGTTATTCTTAGCGATTATGACAAGGGGACCTAATTTAGGTGAGGGGTGTCGGGTGGTAAGTAACCACTGCTGGTCTGTGATGCGGGACCATTATCTCCTGCTTTGTCCCCTGCTGCAAGGACAACTCAGGTGTCACTCTCTTTGCTGGGATTAGAAAAGCTGGATACCTGGCTTAGAAAATGTGGGCAAAAATAGGACCGACCTGTCACTTCTCTTCTCCAGTGTAACTACTATCTTTGTTGTTTTAGATCACTGTAATCGCAGATACATAGAGTTTTTTCCTTGGTATATTATGAGCATTTTGCCACTGGATTTTTTTGTTGTTATTTGAAGACTTGCCTAACTCACCCATAGTAGACCATATTGATTCTTCAACTAGGACTGGCTCTTCTTTGAAAAGATAAAAAGGATGGCTGTTGGAGAACCTATCTGAAGAATAAACTGTTGACAAACCTCAGCATGCCTGTATGTCTTAAATCCTGAGAGTAATCATGTACAGCTTTCTGGCTACTGTTATAGCTTCAGGTCTGGAATTGGTTTGGATATTTAGAAGAGTGGAGCTCAATAGATGCCTCACTGTGTGGTATTAGCCTACATTTCATACTTTTTCCACAGGAAATGGCAAAAAGTTATTAAAAATGTATATTGATTTTACCCAGCTCTTTAAAGAAAAGTATCTTTTGTTTAAGGAACCCCTCACATTGGACTTTCCTATCCTAACGAAACCCTGCACCAGATAGAGCTGTGCCTTGCTTAGTTGCAGCACCTGAGCCAACCAGTGGTGTCAGGTTGGCTGGTGTGGGTTTATCCCTGTGCAGCCTTGCAGACTGTCTGACTGGCAGCCTGTGGAAACCTGCCAGGGTGTCGACCACAGGGCAAGTGCCTCCTGTCCAGCACTGGGTGCCAGAGCTGCTGGGTCTCCATGGTGGCACCTGTCTAAATGTGCTTGTGACTGATTCAGTGTGTGTGTGTGTGTGTGTGTGTGTGTGTGTGTGTGTGTTCAGACAGTCTGAAAACAGAGTTCTTCCAGGATGACTTGTTAACCATTGAAATATTAGGTCTTTGCTATGACTGACTATTTTTAATGTATTGGCAAAGCCTCAAGAGAAATTAAGATTTGGCCAGGACCACTGTGGTTGTGGTCAGCTACCCTTATGGGTGTGACAAGGATTCAGATATGCCCGTCAGTCCATCCACTGCTCTCCAGATCACCTGTCCCCTTCCTAATGTCCTGGCTGGTGTCCTATCCTCTTCTGGCTACCCCTCCCGCTGTCAGACTTTCACCCACTGAAGACTTCCAACGACTATCTGATTTTACATGTCACACTCTAGCTGGTATGTTTTTTCTCCTCACTACATGCTAAGAATTTTATGTGTAACCTCACAATAGCTCTCAGGAGTGTGTTCTCCACATGGAGGCACTAAGGCCTAGGGAAGTTCATCATTTGTTCAGTGTCATAGAGCTGAGAAGTGTAGAGCTGGACTGATGCCCAGGAAACCTGTGTCCTTCCACTTCAACAAGCTGTTTTTGTTCATCTGTTAGAATATTCAATGAGCACAAGTATGAAAAGTGCTTTGTAAACTATCAAGCAGTATGCAGACATTTATAACTCTTGGTCTTTGCAAAAACCTGTGAAGGCCGTGCTCAAGGCACTTAGCCATGGTTTGCTGTAGGAACCAACATTCAGGTCACCCCCCCCCCGCCCATGAACAGCATTTTGAGTGTCTCTTTAAAAACGTACTCCAGGAGTCAAGCTGAGAGTGTTCCTACTTTGGTGTGCGAATGTGACTTGTCAGTTTCACTGAGACTAGAGGTTAAAGTTAAACCTCAGCAATTTCCCTGCGGCTGCCAATCCCTCAGTGCTATTAATAATAGACCTGCTTCCTCCCCGCTGGGACAGGGTCTCTAGGAGCTCAGGTACAGGATTAGGTCATGTTCTGCCCTTTGTGGGGTAGGGCCTTTGGTTCCGTCACCGAGGCCCAGGAAGCCTCTGACTTGGTGGTTCGCTTCAGCTGGCAGGGCTCTGAAAGTAATAAGGCAGTAAAGTGCTGCCAGCAGGAAGGGAAACCGGAAAGGAGGGGCAGTGAAAAATGAAAAACGGGGGAGTGCAGTCAGGGATAATGACAGCTAAGTTATGAGATGTGGAAATTAGAAAAACTGTGTTTATGGTTTTTGAACTTCTGCTCTGGTAGTATTTTAATTATTAACTGATGTATGTAGTATTCTGTGGTGAAGAGAGCTGAAGTTAAAATTGCAATGAATTGCCCAAGATTTCTAAAGTTTTCCTTAGCAGGTCTGCACAGACTCACTAGATAGTGTTTTGTTTTTAAAGAAGATTAACACATGCTGGCAAGATCACTGCAGACAAATGGTAAGCATATTGACTTTTCTATTAATGCTAGTTTTATATATGGTGCACTCTCCCTGACTCTTCATCAGTACTGCTTTTTATGTCAGATCTCGTTTCCTCTTTGGTCTTTGTCTGCCTCTGGTTTAGTTAGACATTTTAGTAGCTGGGAGTATGTGTCCTCTTTTAATCCAGCTATCTTTTGTTGTTGTTGTTGTGTCTTTTTTTCTTTTTCCTTTTTTTTCATCAAAGCACCAGTCTCATCCATCTTCCCTCACCTAACTAAGGTAGAAGGGCCAGAATGTGAGCTGAGATAGGGAAGTTCTGTTTAAGATTCTCTTTGGGGTCAAATGCTGCTCTCCAGCTCCAACATAGTTGGGCAGCAGAGGAGAGAAAATCGGAGAAGGTGAACTCTGTTCTTCCAGAACAGGGCTGGCTGCTAACTTGGCCTTCAACCCAACCTGACAGATGATAGCTCATAATTTTCTCCTTAATCCCAGCTTATGACCGATAAGTCTGAATTCCAGAACTTTACTATAACTAAACATCCAAAATCTTAGATTTTGTAGATGTATTGATTCTGATTTGATTTTATGTATATGAGTTTTTAGTGTGACCAGGCTGTTTATTATGTAAGTGAGAGAAAAGATAGTATCAATAGTTTTCCTAACTAGGTTGAATTCTTTTGTTTCCTAAATGAAGTAAGTAGGGGATAATGAATGTGTGTCTGTTCTGGGCCAGGCACCTGGTAGATGGTAGAAATAGATAAAAGTCTGTTGGAAAGGTTTTGCTTACGTGTGTAAGTGAACCTCTACAATAGTCTGGTAAGTTCCGTGATGGGAGAATTACAGGGTTACAGCATGCATGCTAGCACGGCAAAGGGAGCAGCTGCATCCTCGCTCTGCTTGCAGAGTACAGTCCAATACATACACTGGCCAAGAGCCTCATTCTAATGTAACAAGAACTAATTGTTTAGAAAGTTTAGAGCATCTCCCCAGTCTAAAGAGATTTATCACATAAGTTAGGAAATCAAATTTCAAAGGTATCCTTTAGGCTAAATGCTTTAAATCCCTGCAATCAGATTTTCTGGATAAAGGCGATGAAAAACAAACATAGAGGGGGGAAATAAATCATAAGGGTATTGGTGGAAAACATCTTTCATCAAGAAACAGTTATTAGATTTGAGGTACCTAGCATAATGATAGTACAAATGGCCTAATCTTAAATATTTTGTTAGTAAGATACGTAAATAAATTCTTTTCTAATTTCCAGATCATGATCAGAAGTATTTTCCTATTTTTGGATCGCACTTACGTACTTCAGAATTCCATGCTTCCTTCCATCTGGTGAGTGTTTTAGTCAGTATAGCTGTATCTGCTGCTGTGACTGAAACCACACGTTTGACTTGTCTTCTGCTGGTTAATTTGATGGCATATGTAGTCATCTGTCTGTGGTCCTTTATGTCAGCCTAAATCACTAGTGCATATATCTAGGTCCAGGTAGATGTTAGCCTAGAGCCGTGGTCAGCAAACTGTGGCTCGCGAGCCACATGTGGCTCTTTTGCCCCTTGAGTTTGGCTCTTCCTAAGCCTTAGGAGTACCCTAATTACGTTAATAACAATGTACCTACCTATATAGTTTAAGTTTAAAAAATTTGGCTCTCAAAAGAAATTTCAATCATTGTACTGTTGATATTTGGCTCTGTTGACTAATGAGTTTACCGACCACTGGCCTAGAGCATCTCCATCACCAGTGAAGGTGACAGGATGAAGATGAGGCAGGCCGAGTTAGGGGAGCAAATTCTAGCACGTCCCCCAGCTTGCACTGAATGTCCCAGCAGAGGCATCAGGCAAGCATGGAAGTACTGTATGAAGCCACGTTTCTGTAACAGCTATAGACTTCAGGATCTCTGGAGCCAGTGTTCACACACATCTCACCTCTGCTGTGAGGGAGAAGAACTCAGTTATACTCTCTTTGATGGCTGGCGTTTGACTTGGCATGGCTCTTTCCAGTGGTCTGGTGAAACCTTGAGAAAGACTTACAACTGCAGGCGAAGTTATGAGCCCTGAGGCCCCCCCGCCCCAAACACACACACACACCCCAAAACACCAAAACCTCCATCTTACCGACTATCCAAGGGCACAGGGGCATAGTTTTATTCAGGATATTGAGGTCTGTCATTTCAGTCTGTTCATCACACATCATCTTTCAAAGATGGTATAAATATTGTCTCTAGTCACTGACTTCCACAGCCTTTGCTAATGTGTTTCACCTCTCTGCCCACCTGCCCTAAGTCTCCCCAGAGTTGCCTTCAAGAAGCCCTAACTGACATTAACAAAAGCCTGCCCTTAATCCCATCCTTGGATTCTTCCTTTGTTGATGCAGAAGTTCCTTCTCCCATTGAGAAGTGATGTACTTTCTCATTACCTTTAAACCTGAGTTCTTTTTAAAAAATTGCTTTCTTTTCCAACTTCTCACCATCTTTTCACCCTAACCCTAAACAATGTGGTTTCTCCTTTCACCACATGGAAACTGCTCTTGCCTTAGACGTCAGTGATCTCTTGGTTACCAGATCCCATAGTCACTTTTTTTCCTCTTTCTTTTATACTAGAAGCCCGGTGCACGAGATTCATGCACTTGCGGGGGAGGGCACGGGGGGTGGGTCCCTCAGCCCAGCCTGTGTCCTCTTGCAGTCTGGGACCCCTCGGGGGATGTCCACCCGCCAGCTTAGGCTCAATCCTCCTGTAGATCTGGCCTAAGCGGGCAGTTGGACATCCCTCTTACAGTCCTGGGCTCTAGCAGTCCATGACCCCTTGCTCCTTACTGCCCGCCTACAGCTGCACTCGCCAGCCATGAGCTCAGCTTCTGGCTGAGTGTTGCTCCCCCTGTGGAGCGCACTGACCACCAGGGGCTGCTCCTGCATTG